GGAGTTCCCCCCCTGTTTTCGTTATCATCTACACACTTATCATTTTGTTTATCATTATAAGCTTATTTCAGCAGTACCTGGTCACTTGAATACACCCTTTATTACAGCTATAAAGAGAAATTTACTTTAGTGTTATAGTCAAAGAAGACTTATTAGGAATAATATCAAAAATATATTGATTTTTTTTCTTAGTTATCATATTTGAATAACACTATAGCAGTGTTGAGAGACATTAAATTGTACTTTTTGAGTCAAAATTTGTGTGCTTTTGGACCTTTGAGGATATGTTTCTCTGGTGCCTTATCAGTACTCAATTCAACAGATTTCCCCTTTCTGATTGTCTTGTTTTAGGAGGGCAGTCCATAGACTTCTTCTACTAGTATTTTATTGGTAGATTATCCCCTTCATGCTCTGTATAACCCTTGTTGGGTTATAAGTTCTGCAAACAACAGTTCCCAAGAAATCTGGAAGACCTTTTCTCAAGTTCAGACTTGTGGATCATCATTATGCACAAAACCTTTTTTGGAACTCAATTGCCCAAGTTTCAACAACCCACTTGATACAGTCAAAACTCTTCTAAAGTCTTACCTGTGTAAAGCTATAACCTGCCTGTAGCGATGGTTTTTGGCTTCTCCCAAGTTGGGCGGGGCCAAAAATTGTGGAAATCCCATAGTTCTGCCTAACACAGTAACCTATACCCAAATTTCAAAAAAAAACATCTTTTCAGCATAAAACCATAGAAAAAAGGGTCAGTGCGGAGGCAGGAAGGCTGACAATCTTTGCCTATCTTCACACATCTTTGCTCCTAGGTGATACAATTCAATACCTACAATGGCGGGTTGAGATGGCTCACCACCACCAGAGCACTGGCATAGAGCCCATAGTGTTCAATCCAGCTAAAAACTTTTGTTATGTACTTAGAGCATCCACAGTGATGGGCTCCAAATTGAGTGACTTCAAATTTGGTGGGGCCCCAAATCAATCCGGATGCAGTCGTTTGTGCTTCAAAAGTGTACATTCTATGTGTTTACACTCATTTTGAGATTGGTGCACGTGGGCTTACATGTGTGAGGTATGGAATTGAGCAAGTGCAGGAATTTGGAGCCCAGCTTTTTGTTGCCAAATTTGTAGCCCAAAGCTCAAAATTTGAAGCCGGCTACAAAACAATTTGGCAATGGGGACCGCCATTGCACCAAAAAATCGGGGCTCAGTCACCAAATTTGGCAATAGCCCCAAGTTGAAGCCCACCACTGTGGATTCTCTTACATATTCAAATTCACTTATTTTATTCTAAAATACTCAACACATTGGATACTGAAAACTTTGATAGAAAATTTATTTTTATTCAGCCAGATCAGGTGAGAGCCCAAGCCATATACATAAAGACATAGGTCCCATGTATATACATATAAGACCCTCTACAGCCATGGTTTCTATGTCTTTAGAGGGTTTTGAATGTATGGCTACATTTCAATATCCTCTACAGCCATGTTTTCTATGTCTTTAGAGGGTATTACATGTATAGCCATGAATGTACGGCTACAGAGGGGTTCCCCAACAAAGACATAACCCCTCCAAAGCCATACATTTCCCTTTCCACCAAGGGGTATGAATTTAGAGGGGTTTGACTGTAAACGCAAAGCCTGAAGACCTCCTTTGGGGCTCTTGCGAGTTTCTATCAAAAGTCTTTTGTGTGTGCTCATTGATATGTCACATGAATACAGACATGGTGTTCATTGATGAGCTGGTGTCTTCCCCCAGGCTAGCTTCAAAAAACCACAGTTGGGGAAAAGCATTGCCCTCATCTTACTCTCCATGTCATCTTGTATCTCATCTCCACCTCTGGATATCTACTATTGAGCTTATCTACTAAATCTTATACCTTTCTTAAACTACTGTCTGGCTCCCACAACTGACCAGGTATCCAATTCCAGGTCCTTTATCCCTCTTCTTGAATATATATCACCGACTTCAAATTTTCCTTCCTCATCCACAATGATTGGTGGTGGTGGTGGTGATTGATGTGGTCCTGAAATCATGCTTTCTTCATATGGCTGTAGTAGTCTTACTGAGAAGGCTGGATGCACATGACTCATAGATGCAGGAAGGTCCAGTTTATACACATTTGTTGGCAGTGTACCCTTTTTGGAATAGGAAAGGCACCTATCCAGTTATGTGCAAATTTTGCACTTGACCTCGTTGTCAATATCTTCCTTGTGTCAAGCCATACTTTTGACCCTTTTGCCAATCTGGTGATTCAGGTTTGTGTTTGTTGTAATTATGAGCTTTTGTTGATTCTTGTGCTAGTCCAAGTGATTCTCTCAAATTTTCTTTGAATTCTTTCAGTTGTGCTAACATTCACTTGACTTCAGGTATGCATTGTTCACTATGTATTGATAGTATGATTAATATCAAGTTTTTAAGTCCTGTATATGGCACATTCCTTCAAAAACCTCTTCAAACGTCAAAGTTAAGGTCATATGCACAGGGGCCAAAATTGATGCTAACATAGAGGTAAGAATAATAAACTCTCATGAATTCTCCAAAAAATATTTACACTACACAAAGTTGTTCTTGAACTTTTCCACAAAGTTTCTAGAACAATTCTCCAGGAAGCCAGACAGCCATAATATGTTCTGCCTTTCTGGACTTTTATCAAATTCTCACATACCCAATCCAACTCCAACATCCACCATCACAACATGCCTGACAAGATTCCCCCTCTCAACACCCCTTGTTTCTCAAGCATTGATCTTGTTTAATATCAAGGTTATTCTTTTTGGACCTTTTTCTATCACTCTTTTTTGAATCATGTTTTTGCTTTTGTTATACAAGTAAAAACATTTATCTCCCCTTTTGAGATTCCATGTGTTAAAAAGTGATACACTTATAACACAATGCAAGGAATTTCAGTTATCCTGATCAAACAATCCAGATTGCGACTGACCATTCCTAATAAGTGTATTTAAAATATGATACACTTATTGGGATTGATTTACTCAATTGCATTCTAATCAAATCTCCCAATTGATGCAGACACCAATAGGATACAATGATAAGATACTCACAATGATAGATTGGATATCCTCAGATATCTTATTAGTGAGACTGATGAGAAGTCAGACCAATGAGGGAATCAACACCGCCAACATATTTACCTCGGATTACAAAATCCGAGGTATCCTCGGATGCAAAACCTCGGACAGAAGCTTCCCGAGGTTTTGATCTGAGGTGCCCTCAGGGCAAAAAAATACCTCGGGCGAAAACCTCGGACAAGGTCTGTCCAAGGATTTGCCTCCGATGATGCCTTGGATTTCTCAACCCAAGGCATCTATGCTGGCAGTGCAAAGTCCCCTGAGAATATTGTTACACTCACAAATTGAACATATCAAGGTTGGATCAAATTTGTTGATTGATTCACTTTGTGTAAGGCAAGGACATGAGGTGAAGAAATTGAGAGGTGGTTGAGGAGGGAAGACAAAGAGGCCTTGATCAGCAACTGAAGGGTTGGACCACACAGTTTCTTGGACCCCAAGGGCAAAACACATTCAGATACGTGATTTTTTCCAGAATTCCAGGAAGCCAGTACACATCCAAAATGTTCTATCTGGAAAAGTTGTATGTAGAAACTTTGTGGTAAAGGTCCAGAACAATTTTGGGTAGGACAATTGTTTCAATTGACAATTTTGGTGATTTTCAGGCAATCAGTCTGTTTTACTCATATGTTGCTTGACATTGCTGGAGTATGCTCATTTCCACCTTGGATGAGCATTCTTTGAGCTCAGATGAGTACTCAAGGTCAGTCTGTGAGACACTGCGTACTTGGAAACTTGTCCAAAATGCAAATGAAATCAGGGTGATATTAAGACACACCAATTGCAGGCACCTAGGGATTGACGATTAGCCAAGGGGCTGAGATGAACTGAGCAGATGGGCCAGCCTTCACTCAGGCTTTTTTATTAAGGAATGAAGCCTGAGGAAGGCCTAGTCAATCTGCTCAGTTCCTTTTGATCATGGACACAGTTGGCAATCAGGGAGAAAAAAGGAGAGAAGATGGAAGCAAATTGGAAGAAACATTGGAAAAACACCCAAGCTTCCTATATTTAGGGTATACAAAGTTTGTTCTGGAAATTTCCAGACATCTTTTTCCAGAACACCAGAAGCCTCCTGCTCTTCTGGAAAACATGCAGTGTTGGTTATTCTAAGCTTCAGAATACCATAAGTTCAGAAAACACCCAAAAAAACTTCTGGTGTTCTGGGGAAACACTTCTGGAAATTTCCAGAACCATATTTGTATACCCTAATTGCTCACCCCTATGCGAGCATCTATTTTTACCACTGTGATTTGAGATAAAAGAGGAAGCTCAAGAATTCAATATTTGTGTTTTTCATGAATCACCTCAAAGCCCATTGTCAAGCCTATGATTTTGTCTCATATTCACTCACTCATCATTTAGATATTTTTGCTAGTAGATTCACATTGTAGACACATCCATATTTCATCACATCCATCGAAATAAATGTACAAAATGTCGGGATACAAAGTTAAAACTGGGTTTTTTTCCCAGTTTCCCAGTTTTTGTTTTTGGCTGTGTTTGGAACTTTCCCACGATACTTTTACACACGAGATTCCATCTATTTGTGAGCGAGAGCTTTAATTGATGCAACCTTCACTTTTTCTTGGTTGATTTTGTATCCCGTAAATGTGGTCAAAAGTGCCTACAACACCACAAAAGGTTCCAATGAAAGCTCTTTCTCATTAATGTGTTTTTTTACATCGAGACAATACTTTTACACACGAGATTCCATCTATTTGTGAGCGAGAGCTTTAATTGATGCAACCTTCACTTTTTCTTGGTTGATTTTTCGATAGGGGTGTGACCTGTCATAGTTGTGGGAAAGAGTCTGTGACAGCTCTTGCGCGTCATGAAAGTCATTACATAATGAAGATGTCACTAATTTGGATGTGAGTTTGATGAGAAGCTTTAAATTGAAATCCAGTCTAGTTCTTCAAGCATTCTCATCGATTTGAAGACATCAAAAGTGTTAAATATATAGTTTGCATTTCAATTTGAGAACGATAAGATCATCATCCAATCATCATGCAACTTATTGCTTACTCTTGTGCTCTGTTCTCGGCAATGACAACCTTGATCTTGTCCATATACTCATTAAGAGCTCCTAATTGGTAAGCTATCAACTTATATATAATCTTCAATCAAGTGAAGATGATGTTTCTGACTATAATTGTTCATCTCATTCAGGATTCGATTCGATACTCCTGAGTCTTCGCCTTTTCAATACAGTTCAACTTATGGCCTTCGACAGAAATGTGATCGATCGAACCTTCATCCTGAATTCCAATGTAGAGCTTTCCCTGATCGTCAAAGGGATTGTACTTCGAGTAAAGATTTAGTCAGAATGGAATCTACCTGGTGGAAAGAAATGGGACAAAATCTGAATAGGAGTCAATCTTCAAACTCAGGTCATCATGTTCCTAAGATGGTACCAGTGGGAAGTGGTTTAGTAGATAATGGATTCGAGACAACTACCTCTTCAAATCTACCTAGTATTCAAAAAGATTCAGACCGAGATGAAAATTTTGGGTTTTGTGAAAAATGGAATACGGCAGCTTATACTGCAGAGTTTAGTATTGTGATTGGAGTGATCTCAATGTTTTGCATCTTTATTGTCATTCTTGGGAACGATCATCGTAAACAGCATGGTTGGAAGGTTTGTGGTGGTTTGATTGCCGTGCATGGTGAGTGTTCCTCTGAATGAATTTGTTGGACTAGCCTCACAAATCACACATTGACGTTTCTTTTCGTATGCAAGGCTTGCTGCAAACTATCACCTGGGTGCTTATCCTTAACGTCTTCAACACTGATAATCGATTCTACTATGGTTCTAAACTGTCGACAAGCTCTTACATCGCCATCAGTGCCAGTGTGATTGATATTCTTGCTTTCACTGGTCTCTTTGCCGTAGGATTCACCTTCAATGAAGACCCACGTGAAGACTATGAAGCAATCGATGATTAAAGCACAATCATCTTTTCAACTGTCTTGCTCATCTTTGATTTACTCGCCCATCAATCATAGACCTGGATCTCAAGATCGTTACAAAGAATGTTTGAAATTGTGTACAGAGTAGCAAGATCACCTTTCAAAACTAGTTTAAAATACTCTTGATTGTTTAACACTTCATGTGCTACGTACTATTTTCTAAAACAGTTTATCTTCCACTTTCTACAATTACTTAGACATTTTTTCAAAAGTCGACGTTTTCAATTTGAGTTGTAACCTTTTTCGTTATTTGAAGTTTTCATTTCGCATGCCGTACTCGTGTAAGATGTTGTAATCTACATTTCTCTGCTTTTTGTGACTGATTTTTCTATTGCCAATGTATGACGTCAATAACGGGTACATACACTCTTCATGACTTGGTAAAAGTATTGCAGTCTATTTCTCTTTAAAGCAGCTGATCAATTCGTAACGACAAAGGAAGTTAAGCTCGCCTTGCAGGTCATTTGATTAGGTTGAACCATCACAAGGACTGGAAGAAGCTATGTCCGATCTTCAGTTTGTGACAACAAAGCAAAGATGTCTCAGCACATGGGTCGATTAATGTTGAATTTGTGCAGTGCGTCGATCGAGAATTGGGTACATAGATGAGATGGCTAGACTCACGCATACATTAAGGGGTTTCAAGTTCCAATTTTTTATACGCTTTTTTAAAAAATCGGTCAAGTTTCATCAACGCTCGGATCTCAACGTAATCCGCCGTAACGTTATGTAAAACCCATAACGTTACGGTCAACCGTATTAATTCTTAACCGTTCCGTAACGTTGTGGGGGAGCACCGTAGCAAAATGCTCACTTTGGTACGGTTGTGCCGTAATGAAGCGTACCGCGATGCCTA